CGCCGGGGCCGCCTGCTTCGACTGGAGCTCGGAGCGGACGGGGTGCAGCCACCGCCTGCGGTAGCGGTGTCTCCCTTAACACCTCCGCTCCTGGAGCTGTGTCGCTCCCGAGGGCCTCCACTCTTCCTGAAAAGGAAAAGTGAGTTTCCAGCCCCTTAAGTACTAGAGAAAGGCCAAAAAAAAAAAAACCTGCGGTAGCGGTGTCTCCCTTAACACCTCCGCTCCTGGAGCTGTGTCGCTCCCGAGGGCCTCCACTCTTCCTGAAAAGGAAAAGTGAGTTTCCAGCCCCTTAAGTACTAGAGAAAGGCCAAAAAAAAAAAAAAATTAATTCCATACTCGTTTCGGAGGTGAGAAGACAAATGAAATGAACCCCAAATTTCCTAATCAAAAAATCCGTTTCTTTGCTGAGATAGAGGGTTTGAATTCTCTGTAGCACTCTGAACTGACAACCTAGGCCCCATGGAATTGGCTTAAAAATTAATGAGGCTTTTAAATGAAGAAAAAAAACCCTAATTACTTCTCCTAGTGGTACACAAGACTCTGCTGTGGTAGGCATTGCATAAACATAATGGAAACTTGTTGTATACCCAAATAATTTGCTATGACAGAGCCAAAACCCCTACTCCCCTCCATCCTGCTCTAGGACCACCAGTGCAGAGTATGTGCTCTGGACCCTGTCTGGGAGCAGCCGTGCAGCTCATCCCGTCCGCACCAGGCCTGCCCCGGCTCTGCAGTGTCTGCGAGTTTAGACTACTGCCTCTTCACCAGCAGCCTGGAGACTGAGTCTTCAGTTTTCAGTCCAGCATGCGGGGTTGGATTGGGTGTGGTGTAATTCTACCTCTTCTCCGCTGTACTCTGCCAGGTCCTTGACAACAAAGGTGGCAGGTCCTGGAGCGAACGCGACTGCTAGCAGTTCAAATGTCAGAACTCCCAAAGTACTGTCAGCTGCGTGGTTGCGAGCTGGTTGGTATTTCGGTGTCACCCAACCCAGCAGTTCTGGTCACAGGAACTGTGCTTTGCGAGCCCTGTACCCTCTGATGGAAAACCAGGCATAGGGCATTAGCTGCTAAGGCACTGGCTGTGGTTGTGCAGTCACTGTAGCATGCCATAAATCCAAGCTGCTGCTGACAGGGACAGTCCAAACCCTCTGTACTGCTGTCTTTGTGGCTCCCGGGTCTCAGCGAGCAGAGGTATTGCTGCTCTGCTGCTTGCTACCCGTGAGAGGGCAGCACAAGGCCAGGAGATGTTGTCTGGAGGTTTCAAAGTGCTGATGTCGGGCATCCTCATAGCCTGATCCGAGCGGCACAGGTCAGAGGAGCTAATCCTCTGAAACTTCTTGTGAAACAATGTGTGAATGTTCACTTAAACTTTGCCCTGGAGCATCCTAATTCCAGTGAATAATATGTGAAACCAACCAACCAGGAATAGAACAAAAAATTAATCGTGCTGGTTTTCCTTGCAGTTGAAAAGTATAATGAACATTGACCCTTACTACATTTTTGCAGAAGACTGTGCAAATCCTTCACCTTCATGCTGAGCAGGATCTGTATCTCTGTCATCTTTCTGCAGTATGGCCGATACTGAGCGCTCCAGAATAACTGCTCTTTGGAAAGCATGAGTGATGTAAGACTCGTGAGATTAAAAACATGTTTACACTTTGATTTATTTACTTTCCAATTTTTGAGCCTCTAGGGCACCCTCAGGTCATGTTTCCATTCTCTTCTTGCAACATTACAAAATCTGGCATAAAATCAAGACAGTTAGCAGGGCTAAAATTGTCAGACAATCAGTATTGTTGCTGATCAAGAATTATGAAGGGTAGCACTTGACAACCCTGCTACCTGATGCCTACTGTCCATATATAAAGTAAAGTCTGAGCAGCAATAAAGCAATCTTTTCCCTCACCCTTCCCCCTAGATATATCTCAGCTGGAGAAACCACCACTGATAACTATAGAATAAAGACATTCGGTAGTTAAGTAGCACTTTTTGTGCCGAGGTGTCACTGGCAACCTGGCTTCTTGCAGGCAAGAAGCCTCTCCTTGAGGCCAAGCCTTCTCCTTGCAATCCCGCTGAGATTGCCTTTCAAGAGATAGCTTTCAGGGTGGGTTTTTGCAACTCGGTGACTCGTCCGCTGGTTAGCACTGCACTTTGTTTTGCAGAGCCCACAGAATTGTCACTCATCCTGTGTGATTACCTTACAACTACTCAAAGCACGTTTAAATGCCAGTAGTTTCTTCTTTGTTGTTTGATGAAGTGAGTCCAGTATCTTTAAAAATTTCTTTCCATTTTTCTTTCCAGCTGAGTAATGCAGAACTTGCTTTTTCCTGGGATAATCCATAGAGATGGATATTGGGCAATGAAAATGCAGAAGGAAGCCAGGATCATGGGATCTCATTGGACAAGCAGGAGGTAAGAATTTTATGTTCTGTGCTATTTCTGAAATGACTGCTGTTTATGCACCTAACCTTGTGACACAGCAAAAACACTGCCAGAAGAATACTATTACCTGAAAAACTGTTTATTCTCTTTGAAAAATGTGTGAATTGGCAAAGAAGCAGCAAGTTATAATAGGAAGAAGTGAGGATTCCTCTGTCCTGTGTGCTGAAACACCTGTATATCTTGTCACCTTGTTGGGATGGTAGTGACCTTTTCCTTTAAGAAATTGGCCCTGAAAACTGCTGAGTAAATGCCAATTACCGTTGACTGGTGTCCACTGGAGGTGTGATCCTTCAGCACCCCAAAGGAGTGGGCGATGCAGTTCTTTTTGTGGAACCCTCCAGTTCTTTTTTTGTGGTTTTGTGGAACCTCCAGTTCTTTTTGTGGAACCCTCCAGGAACCTGGCTAGTTGAAGGGCCCAGTCCTATGAATTTCAGAGCTCTTTCAACTCTCAATAACTTTGATTGGAGTTAAGGGTCACTCAGTACCTCCCAGTAGGAGGCCCTGAGTGGTCTCAGTGTTTAAAATTAATGAGTTTGAGCATGAGAATCTGGCCTGGGAGATTTTAATCTGAGTTTGCTATTTTTAGCATGAGCTTGAAACTGATTCAAATAGTTTTTCTGCCTTTGATACTGTGTTAGTGTGTTAGAGCCTTCCCTATTGTTAGTCTCACAGGCGCCAAGTCCATCTTCGATCTTAAGATAACTGTAGCCAATGGACTGAGATCGGGGTGAATTTGGCCAGGGATAATTAAAATAATAAATAAAATAACAAAATGAAGATACATAAAGCAAAAGCTTGGGCTTGGAGTGGTTTCTGACATTCTGAAAGTAATTTAAGTGATCCAGGAGAAAACATGCAATGAAATCTGTTTTCTATTATTGCATGAGATGGTAAGTCTTAATATTTGATCAAAAGCAGTTTTTTTATATGATGAAGATAACACAGCTTGAAGTGATCCATAGAACTGAGAATTTTTTTTTCCATATAACATTTAGAAATTATTGTAGGCTTGACATTCTATTCATTTACTGATAAAACTTGCTGTTCCTATCTTGATCTCACAGCAAATAAAAATAATTTGTGACTGCGTTCTGGCTCCCACAAAAAGTGGTATTTTTGAAGGAAGTGGTGGTAAAAGCTCATTATTGGTACCTATGTATGTGCTAGCTTCTTACCCAGACCCTGTTTGTTGTATATCAACACCAGTCTGTGGTGGAGACCTGATGCTCTCTCAGAGACAGATCTGTCCTGCTGTTAATAATGTTCAGGGTGGCATGTTGTATCTGTGTGGGTGTTGGCTGGACTCTTGGAGTACCTACAAGGAGAGTCTCGGCATACTGCATTGTATTTAAGAAAAAAGGAAGGAGAAACTTATGTGATTCTCCCTTGTGCTCATATTTCTCTGGTCCTGTGGGTTTTGTAAGGCTCCTGAACAAAGCCAAGATTGAATAGGCCAAGGACACTCCATTCCTATGCTTTTAAAGGAATATTTTCCAAGCTGTGAAGTTATGAGTGCCTTCCAAGCTCAATGGTTGTAAGCAACAGCATGTAGAGTTCAGTGTGGAGAATGCCTGTATAGTCTAGCACATCAACGAGCAAGCGGGGCTAGAGGAATCCATTCCCAGGCCTGTCAGTTCTCCCCTCAGTGAGCATCTGTGCTCCCCTTGCTAGTTTTACATTCCTGTTGCCATGCCATCAGTCGATCCCTTTCTTTCGTAGCTTTTATCCACATCATATTTTTGCTGAGGGATGTCCTTGCCCATTTCTCTTGAGAGGATTTCTTTGGAGGCCTCATCTATGCACACAGGGATCAAATAATAGACCACTGATTCAGCAAGGGCCATCAAAGACTGCGGATGTCATTGACCAGGAATGGGTCAGAAAATAAGAAGTCTGTTTCTTATTTTCTCCCTTGGTACTACAGGGAATTCTGCCTCAGAGAATTTATGAAAATGTCAATAAGTCAAATAAGAGTGTTCCGGATGTTTGCAGTAATAATTTACTAGCTGGCAGGGCTTGTCTGTTTACCTCCTCCATAAGCATCTCGTGGGACAGAATTAAGCCTGATTTGGGGTATTTGCTTGAAAGCAGCTCTTGGGGCATCTGCCAGTATGTTTGTATTCCATACAGAGTCAGCTGTGTGATCTTATGCTGCTGACGTTTTAAAGTAAAATGAATAAATAGGCCTCAGGTCTTCTCTACCTCATTGGTGAGATCATTTTGTAACTCGAAAAGCAGTTATGCTAACGACTCAGTATGAACACTTCTGATATTTCTGAAAAGAGAAGCACCAGTTCAGTTAGATGAATACTGTCTGATTTCATGTGCAGCCCAACAGAAAACCCTGTAGGTCCTTCAAATGCCTTATTTGAATGGACCCAGCAGCTGCCAGGGAAAGAGGAGAAGAGGTAGAGGCTGTGCAGCATGGGTCATTGGCCTCACACCTGAACGGGGAGGGACGACAGCCTCATCAAGCTCTCTATCTTGGGTGCAGCACAGTGGAGGGTGGCAGTGCCAGTTCGGCAGTCATCCCTGCAACAGCTTCTTACCATGCTCCAAGCAGCATTTGAGGTGTTCAGTTTAATCTTCCCTGAGCGTGTCTGTTGCACTCTGTTGCTGTAAAGTTAAGATCTGGAATAGGATGGGGGATGTCAAACCCATGTCGTGAAGCAAAGGCAAAGCTGGCCATTGGGTGGAAGAAGCATGTGGTGATTTGGTCTCGACTGTGTTATATCTGGCTCCTCTCAGTGCTGTCTGTCACCTGCACTCTGAAAACTGAACTGAAAACATAGCAGCAACGGGAGATTGCTGGAAATTACTTTTGCCCAGCCCCACGAATTGTCACGGATCAGAAGAATAGTGTATGTGTAGTTGTGGCATGTGAGGGACTCGTGGGTTCATTTCTAGAGTAGTTACAAATCATATCCTTGCTCAGATGCTGCTGGAAAACTAGCAAGGAGGCCTCTCAGAGAACATGTCAGAGCTCACTTGACTTTTCTCTCTCTCTCTCTCCAGGTGCGTAAGTACTTGAATTAGCCTTTACTGTCAGTACATTTCTTCCTACAAGTGCGGAGAAGGTAGATTAGGCTCTCCTAGACAACTGTTCCAACAGCAAGGAAAAACAGCGTACAAATAAAGGGTGGGGAATAGCTCAGTGGTGGCATAGCAGTGAAGGATGTGGGGGTTTTAGTGGACCACAAGCTGAATACGATTCATCAGTTGACGCTTTGTAAAAAAGACTGAGCATGTATTAGCAAGAAAGTCACGTGAGACACAAGAGTAATTATGCCTCTCTGGTAGGTATTGGTGCTCCCAGCTTTGAGCGCTACGTTTTAAAGAAGAGAAGTACACACTGGAGCCCTGAGCAGAGCAAGAACGACCAGAGGTCTAAAACTCTGGACCTAGGAAAGAAACTGAAAGAACTGGATGTGTTTAATACAGAAATAAAAGATGAAGGGTAGGGTTTGCTAAGGACAGTCTTCCAAAGTGTGAAAGGTGAGAGGGTTGCAATCAGTTATCCTCTAACTCTGCTCTAGGCAGGACAGAAAGAAAGCTGCTTAACGTCCAGCAAAACACATTTCAATGAGATTTTTGCATAAGGTTTCTTATTAGGCAGCGGACTTCATCTGGGAACTTTTGGGTGGTTTTATAAGTAAGTCAGACAAACCCCTGCACGTGGTTATACTTATGCTTGATAATGCACGTGGGGGGACTGGATCATTTCTTTGAGAATGGGAAAGATTGCTCTTCCTGAATGCTTGGAGCACAGAAACATTTGGTGACGTTGAGAGGCAGCAAATTTAAGTAGGTGGAAAAGGTGTGTTGTCATACAGGGAGCTGCCTTCCAGAAATGTTGATGTCTCCCATTGGCTCCAGTAGTATTTCAGGTTTACAGCGTAGCACTGAAACCAACTCTACAGAAGCCAAGAGCTTACCTAGAATGAAGGAAAAAAAAAAGAACTGATCATTTCTGTGAATGAGACTGTCAGAGTTATAATTACTCAGATATACAATCTCAAGAGGATTTCATAAGAATCTAAACTTTATGCTTCAAAAATAAACCTTTCTTAGTGAATGAGGAAGGGAAGGGGAGATAAGATGGTATTCACACCTCTCCCAGGGTGGGATACCTGTATTTTTGCTGGATACTGCATACGTACTGCAGGGTATGTAAAATCTGTAAGGCTGACCTGAGAACATCTAGGTATAATAAATGCTGTAAATGCCTGAAAGTCATTGAATTTAATGGAGCTGTAGCCATTTTTTGGATGAGGGGTGTTCTGCTCCAAAGGAACCAGTTGAACTGATTCTTAGAGTGAGCAGAGAGCCTGTAGCCACTAGTATTTTTGTTCTTGGTTGCCAGCAGTGCAGTTTACCAAGTTTCTTTGTTAGTGATGAATGAGTCCTGAAAACTTCGGGGAAATCAGTCAAACATTTAGATTTCTACTCAGATTCCAGAAAACATAAATCAGGGAATTAGGTTGGGAATCTTAAAGAATTTTCTCCTAAGTTTAAAGAGGATAAAACCTTACTATCTGACCTCTTTGCCTTGGGGTTGCATGCTTCCAGAAGTAAACACTGTAGTTTACACATTTCTGCTCATACTGGGACAGAAATACACTGAGAAGACTTTTCCTGAGCTTGCTCTCATTTTAGTAAGTGCTGAAAATTCAGAGGAAGGTAGAGGTCCCCTCTTTTTCAGTCTAAAAGCTTAATAGGTGAGGGTTTTCGTGGGCTTGAGTTTTGCAGCAAGAGTTCATATCTTTTTGTTTGTTTTGTGTTTTTTAATTTCAAACTCAGCCAGTTTCTCCCATTTCAGTTTTCTATGTGTTGAAGATATATTGAAATAATTTTAAATCCTCTGAAGCAGTTTTCCAGGTATTCTTTGGCTTTGATGAGAGAGAGCTAATGCCCATATCAAAAGCATCGAGGGAAAAATAAGATTAATTTCCTCCTTTTGTGTGGCAGAG